ACCGTTTGTGTGGGCACCTGATCGCAGTACCATGGATAGACCAAGTCCAAGTTTGATCAGAGCAGCATCGGAGGCATTCTCCACTAAGGCCTCAAGCAGTCTTGACGGCATCCACCCGTCACACTTTCAACACCTGAATGACGAGGCCCTGGAGTGCCTCTGTGACATCTTCCAGGCGGTGGAGGCAATCGGTGTTTTTCCCATCCAACTCACGTGGATGGTGATGCCAATGCTGCCCAAGGCTACCGGAGGACACAGGTTGATCATACTATACTCGGCGGCGTACAGAGTATGGCAGAAGATGAGACGACCTAGCCTCGACATGATCCAGCAAAGGTTGGACCGACCCTACTGGGGGGCGGCAGCGGGCAGAAGCGCAGTGGACAGCGCATGGACCCTCGCAGCGGACAACGAGCAGAATGTATGCCAAGACAGGTATGTAGTCACGGTCGTAGCAGACTACAGCAAGTATTACGAGACGATCGAGCTGGATCAGGCGCGCGACAAATTAGTGCGCCTTGGCATGCCAGTCCCGATAGTAAAGGTGGTTTACAATCAGTGGAAGGGGCCAAGGATCATACGCTTGCGACTCCACCATGGGGGAGCCCCAAGGCACGCAAACGCTGGGTTGCCAGCGGGAGATGCGTATGCAGATGTGGTGATAAAGGCCCACGCAGTCGAGCAGTATGACATGTACACAACGTTGCATCCGCTCGTTCGTTTCGCTTCCTACATCGACGACACCGCCCTTGGCGTCAACAGCAGTAGCAAGCAGATGGTGATCGACCAGGCGGTGCATGCTACCAAAGGCTTCTTCAAGGTTGCTCGCGCTCTAGGGGCCAGCATCAACGAGAAGCTTGCCATAATCTCTAGCACCAAGGCCATAAGCGATGAAGTCAGTCGACGGCTGCAACTTGATACGAAGATCAGCATGAGGAGCACGGCGTACTTGGGCACTGATGTATCTGGAGGCAGGGCTCGGAACACCAAAGGTACGCGTGACAAGTTTCGGGCAAGACAGAAGGTATATGGAGGCAAGCTCAAGAAGCTGCGGAAGTTCAAGAAGGTGCTAGCTGCAAAGAAGACGGAGAGAATTGGGAAGATCTACCGTGTGGGCGCGAGGCCTGCGTACACCTTCGGGGTAGAGGTCAACGGGGTCAACGACGCTGAGCTCCTGAAGTTAAGAAGGGACTACAACAAGCACGTCAAGCCCAACCACGGCGGCATCTCCGCGAGCGCGAAGATGGTGCTGCTAGGCGACCCTGCTGCCACACAGGCGCTGGCGCCTGCCCTCCAATGGTCAAGGATGGTGTGGGCCGCCACAGCCAGGCCCGCAGCTGCAGCTGTTCCTCTGGCATTGCTGGAAGCCTGGTGGCGAAGGGCGGTCACCGAACCTGGAGTGGTCAAGCAGTGGAGCAAGACACGTGGCCCCCTACAACGTGCAGCGCTTTCAGTGCAACGTGCTGGGTGGCAGACGCGTACAGGGCTAATCTGGATAAACCATCGAGGCGATGAAGTGCATGTAGGGCAACTCACTCCAGGCCTTCTGGAAATGATGCTGAGGCAAGGTCTCGCAGCGCAGCATGAGAAGGCCCTAGCGGAAAAGTGGGAAATGCAGCCTTACACGAGAGTCAACTTTGATATCCTTCGGCGCCATGTGAGGTCGAGGAAGTTCAACAAATATCAGAAGTTCTGTATCATGAACTGTGCCTGCGATGGAGTATGGACACGTCAGAAAGCGAAAGAAAAAGGCTATCTTACGGACGGCAAGTGCGAGTGCGGGGATGAGGACACGCTGGTGCATAGGCTGGTGGATTGTACTCGTCCAGAAGTCGTAGAAGCACGCTGTGAAGCTGAAATCCCCGACTCCTTCTTCCAGGAGCTCTGCCAAGCGCAGGATGACCGAGTCGTCATGCAAGGGGCTTTCGCTTTTCCTGAGTGGGAAATTCCTGACATGCAGATCGGTACTGGCAGCGTAATCCTCGACGGTGATGGCAACGACTTCGATTGTACGCCTGAGACAATGGCTGCCACAGTGCTTGCTGAGACCGATCTGGAGATGGAGCTTTCGTTCGACGGGAGCTGTACGAAGCCAGACATTATGGAGCTCCAACGTGCTGGATGGGCTATCGCATTAATGGATCCACACTCGGACAAAGTACTGTGCACGATGCATGCTCCAGTGCCAGCGTCACTACCGCAGTCCTCGGCGATGGCGGAGTACCTTGCCTACGCGTACACAGGGCAGGTGGCAGACCGCCCAGCTGATGGTTATGCGGACTTCATGGGCACGGTCAGGATGGCGGCCCTCACGCACGAGCAGCAGTTGCATTCTAAGTCGGCATACGCGTGCGTGGCCTTATTTGCCCAGAGCCTGCCTGGGTTCCGCCATCTCCGCAGCGTGACGCACGTGAAAGCACACCGGTCGGGAGAGGAGTATGCTTGTATGGATATGGCAACAAGAAGGCTCACGGATGCTAATGTCTATGCGGACGTGAGAGCCAAAGCTGGTGCGGCAATGCATGCACCTATCAGCGAGGACTTCGCGAAGGCTATCGACACGGCCAGTGTCAGGATCAAGAACTTCGCGAAGCTGGTCGCGGCAGTACTTCCCTTGTTTGATCGAGATGCCCACGAGCGTTGGACACGGCGAACAGCCCAGATCAAGAGGATAAGGAGTACACGTACTGACGGATGGCACCAGTGGGAGGAAGGAAACTTTGGTCTCCAATGCAAGGCGTGTTTGAAGATCAACTGCCCAGGGACTGAAGTTATGCTCAATGGTTGCGCTGGCGCCCCCACGTTCCTCAAGGCCTTCCTCAACCAACCACTCGGACATCACCTAGTGGCGGTGAACCAGAAGGGCGACGGGCTCAGCGACGAGGCGGTTCCAACGGTCTTTGTCTGTGTGGGCTGCGGCGCCTGGGCGCAACAACGCCGACGGCAAAAGCTCAGGAGGCAGTGCAAGCCGCCAACCAGACAAGGAGTTGAAGTGCTGACGAATCTTCGAAGAGGCTTGGGCCCACACAAGACGCTGGCGAGGCACATGGACATGACGACCCCCCTGCATAGGATGATGCCCAAGGTCCTGCCCCCGCTTAGATCGAAGACTTGCGTCACCCGCCCCGTGGCAATGGCGGAGCCCGCGGGATACGAGCACAAGATGGCAGCCATAGTGGAAAGGATAAAGGCAAAGGAAAAGGTGAAGCGTGACCAGGACGATGACAACAACACGATCCTCGGACGCACGCGACACGCAGTTCCTGAAGCGGCCGAGCCCCAACAAGGGGGAAGTGGCTGCACGGGGACGAGGACGCCCGCCGAGTCCCTAGCGCCCACGGAGCCTGCGGTTCCTCAGTGGCGCCATGGGGATGAAGTGCCCCCTGTTGCACAGCATGGTGGTGAACCCCTACCCCCGAGCGACGAAGACGGAGTTGGTGCTGACGATGGAGCACGCTGCAGACACATCGGAAAGGAGGCAGGAGCAGGGCCTCAGCCGAGCGAAGGAGGTGGGAAGGAGGCAGGAGCAGGGCCTCACCCACCTGACAAAGACAGTGAGCTGGCCATGGGCCGCGTCGGAAAGGGGGCAGGAGCAGGGCCCCAACCGAGCGGTAGCGGCACAAAGGAACTCGGAGCAGTGCCTCAAATGCGCGCTGAAAGGGTGCAGCAGCGAGGACGAGCACAGCAACCAAGTCTCTGGGCCCTTTTTCAGGCGGCCTCGGGTCGACGGGTTGAGAACGGGCAGAAGGACCATGGGCCGAATCCCATGGGAAGGGCAAGCGGTTCTCTCGAGCAGCAGACGTTGGAGGCAACCATGGGCGTCCAGGCGCTCAGCGGCAATCACAGCGGGAAACATGCTGCTCGAGGCCGCACAGAGGTCAATGGCAGGCCTCGAGGCCTGGCTGGGGATGCGTTGGCAAGCACCACGAGGAGTACCTCGAGAAGAAGGGCGGAACCAGTGGCTAAGGAGACGCCCAGCCAGGGGCAGCGAGGACGGCGAGCTGTTTCTGAGGGCAAACGCCATGGAGCTACTGGAGCTACGAGGTGGGGCCCTTCGCGGAGTACATCCTGCACGGCGCCAGTGGCCCTGGATGTTCCTCCCAGGGGCGGCGCGGAGGAGGCTAGGGAGACCCACCCTAGCCTCCTATCCCCTGCACGGCGAGGAGTTAGGCCGCAGAGGATACGGGCAGCGCCCGACTCATTGCAGGGAGGAGATGCTGGCGACATGACGCGGGGTACTATGAGGAGTACTCCACACAAGGCGCCAGTGGCCCTGGATGTGTCTCCCAGGGGCGGCGCGGAGGCGGCTGGGGCGAACAGCACCAGCCAGTCTTCCCCTGCGCGGCGAGGGGTTAGGCCGCAGGGGACGCGCGCAGAGCCCGACGCGGCTCAGGGGGACGCTGGCGCTACGACGTGGGGTACTCAGAGGTGCACGCCCTGCACGGCGCCTGCGGCCCTGGAGGTGTCTCCCAGGGGCGGCGCGGAGGCGGCTGGGGCGATCGGCCCTAGCCGCTTTTCCCCTGCGCGGCGAGGGGTTAGGCCGCAGCAGACACGGGCTGCGCCCGTCGAGATGCTTGGAGCTGGTGACGATACCACATGGGGTACTACGAGGAGTACCCCCTGCACGGCGCCTGTGGCCCTGGAGGTGTCACCCAGGGGCGGCGCGGAGGAGGCTGGGGCGATCCGCCCGAGCCGCCTTGCCCCCCTGCGCGGCGAGGGGTTAGGCCGCAGCGGCTGCGGGCACTACTGCGAGTCGCGCGCGACGTGCGCCGAGCACTGAGTGCCCGCGGCCGCGGGCGCTCGGGCGACGGCCCCCGAGGGGGTGACCCGCGACCGCGGGAGTGTCTTCTTCTTCTTCTTCCTCCTCCTGCTCCTGCTCCTGCTCCTGCTCCTCCTCCTCCTCCTCCTCCTCCTCCTCCTCCTCCTCCTCCTCCTCCTCCTCCTCCTCCTCCCCCCCCTCCTCCTCCACGCGCCGTCCCCGCCAAACTCCCTGGCCCCTCCAGATAGCGCACCACGTACGGGTGGTCGCACAGGCTGCCCAAGAGCTCTATCTCCAGCTTCGCCTGTGGAGGAAGGGAAGAGGCAGGGGGGAAGAGGAGGAGGAGGAGGAGGAGGAGGAGGAGGAGGAGGAGGAGGAGGAGGGGGCAAGGAGCGCCCCGCAGGGGCAGGAGGCGGCGGGCTCGGTCTGCGAGCCGTCGAAGGCTCCCTTTCTTTTTTTCCCTGCACACACAGAGGAGGTGCCCGAAGAAAAAGCTGGTCTTGAGTAATATTTCCGCGGCGCAAGGTCAGGAAAAACAGCGGTATTGAATAACTCCTCGGCGCGTCAGCGCGCAACGAAGATGTCACGAAGGCTCCCTTTCTTTTGGGGTTGCTGCTGTAGCCGCCTTCCCCTGCTGCGCGGTGGGCAACCCGGCCTGCTCTTCCGGAGCGCCCGCGGTGCTTCCCCTCCTCTCCGCGCGATTGCCGCTCCCGCACGTGGCGGCTCGAGCGTCGACCCTGGGCTCTCTCTCTCTCTTTCTCTCTTTCTCTCTCTCCTGCTCCCTTCTCTCTCGTCCTCCTCCCACTTCGTCCCCCTCTTCATCCTCGCTCCTCGTCCCTCGTCCCTCGCTCCTCCTCCTCCTCCTCCTCCTCCTCCTCCTCCTCCTCCTCCTCCTCCTCCTCCTCCTCCTCCCCGCCCGCTCGCTCCATCAGGCCTGAAGGTCTTGGCCTGTGCCGACAGAGAAGAGAGCAACGAGCTCACGCCACGAGGGGCCCCGCAGACCCCCGACGCGGGTCAGGGCCCGAGCCGGACGCGCCCCCCCCCAAGAGTTAAGTCGGGCCTGTCCCCCTACAGGGGGAGACTGGGCAAAATAATAAGAATACTCTAAACATAATCCCCAAATGATCAAACATACTGAAAAAGTCCCTCGACTGTTGTTGGACTATTTTTGAAGAGCCCTCCTGTAGAGGGACAGGCCCGACTTGACCCACGAGGGGAGACGCAGAGGAGGACGAGAGAAAGGAGAGGGAGAGCGGGAGACAGCAGAGGGAGAGCAAGGGCCCAGGTCCCGGCCGCCCTCCAGGAGGGCCACGCCGCAGGCGAGCCAAACCCGGCCAGGCGACGAGGCATGACGAGCCGAACCCCGCAGGGCGACGCGACCAACAAGCCGGATCCAAGCATCGCGATGCCGCCGAAGACCGCCAGCCTCACTGCGCGTGTGGCACCGCTCACGGGAGCACACGGTCCCTGAAGCAGCTCTCCTTTTCCTACTCCTCCTCCTTCTCCTCCTCTGGGTCTTCTTATGATTATTCGCTTTACTCTTCTTTATTCGTATTCGAATTCGTGGTCTTTCGTCTTAGTTTGATTATTAGTAACAATATTATTATTAACTGGTACTATTTTTCATGAATTCATGAATTATTAGTAAGAATAATGAGTATAACTCTTCGTATCATCATCGTTCGACGTATTAGACCTCGTATTCCTATGGTCAGTACCACTACTAGTACTATTATTGATACTACGATTCGTATTAGTACTACTATCATGGTTACGAGTATTGTTGTGATCATTCGTGGTATCATTAGTCTGATTACTCCTAAAATCCGCCGGCCCCCTTGTGGGGCCACCAGGCTGCGAGGCACGTGATTCGCAGTTTCCTGTACCAGTCGTAGGTTGTAGTTTCCAGTGTTACAGTTCTGCTTCTTGCTGGTTACTGTAACTAGTTGACTTCTTGCTGGTTACTGTAACTAGTTGATTGACCGCGCGAGGGGGGGGGAGGCCCAAACAGGATTTTTAGCCTCACCTGGGCGCGTTGTCTGAATTGCTAGGGGGGCTCGAAATCGACACCCCTCACGCAGATCCGCGGGGTCAGGGTCCAAAAACACAGGAATGTGCCACATTTCTGAAATTCGGTGCCACCCCTCACGCAGATCCGCGGGGTCAGGGTCCAAAAACATAAGGGATTTGCCACATTTCTGAAATTCGGTGCCACCCCTCACGCAGATCCGCGGGGTCAGGGTCCAAAAACACAGGGGATTTGCTACATTTCTGAAATTCGGTGGCACCCCTTACGCAGATCCGCGGGGTCAGGGTCCAAAAACACATTAGATTTGCTACATTTCTGAAATTCGGTGCCACCCCTCACGCAGATCCGCGGGGTCAGGGTCCAAAAACACATGGGATTTGCTACATTTCTGAAATTCGGTGCCACCCCTCACGCAGATCCGCGGGGTCAGGGTCCAAAAACACATGGGATTTGCCACATTTCTGAAATTCGGTGCCACCCCTCACGCAGATCCGCGGGGTCAGGGTCCAAAAACACAGGGGATTTGCCACATTTCTGAAATTCGGTGCCACCCTCACGCACATCCATCGCAAGGCGTGGTAACCCAAACTGCGAGAACTCCCTCGGCCCTTTAATCGCAAGGTGTGGTAACCAAGCCCGTAAACCATACACGTCTTACCAATCGCCAGGTGTGGTAACCCCTCTTGTGATCAGTTGGTTTTGCTGATTGCGAATCGGCTTCGCATGAAGTTTCGATACTGCTTCACGACAGCGCCAAGGCCTCATGACTTAGCTCTTCCATGGCCCATTCTCCGAGAGAGGGGGCCGGCGGCAGGGGGCGAAGCCCTTACGGATTTTGAATATTGTCAGGAACACACTCATTATTAATCGTAGCACGAGTAAAAATATCATTCTTAGTATTTCATCATCCGCATTCGCATTCACACTCTTTTCGTCATAATAACACGAGTCTTGTCAGTCATACCATTTTTCGTGTCTTCAGTATTAGTATGTTCATTCTTACTAGTGTTACGATCATTATTTCTATTGGTACTATTATCAGTAGTGGTACTATCATTACTGCTGCTGATCTTCGTGGTTCCCTTCTTGCTATGAGATCAGTTAGAATATTGATATTACTATCCATCATTCCTTCCGGGCTTCCTTCCGTCCTTCCTCCTCCCCCCTCCTCCCTCCTCATCCTCCTCGTTCTCCTCCTCCTCCCTCCTCCTTCCTCCTCTCTCCGGTCCGTAGCCATCTCGCCTCAGGCCATCTTGGCCCAAGCTGGCAGCCGCTCCTGCTCCTGCCGGCGGGCGCTGAGCTGGCCGGCGCGTGCTCCGCAACGGCGCGCAAGAGGCCAGCTCGCCGCGCGGGCCGCTCCCGCGGCGGATGGCGCCTCCGCCCGACGTGCTGCCAGGGCTGCGCCTGCCCCGTCGGGGGTCCTCCTCCTCCTCCTCCTCCTCCTCCTCCTCCTGCCTCCTCCTCAGGCCTCCTCCTCCTCCTCAGGCCTCCTCCTCAGGCCTCCTCCTCCTCCTCCCCTCCCCCTCCTCTCCTCCTCCTCCTCCTCCTCCTCCTCCTCTCCTCCTCCTCCTCCTCCTCCTCCCCCCCTCCCCCCCCCTCCCCCCCTTCCTCCCTCCCTCCCTCCCTCCCTGTGCTCCTGCGGCCGTGCAGGCACGTGGGCTTCGAGGATCGCGCGCCGTCGCAGTGGCCGCCCTGCTTCGCAAGGTGGCCGCCACCCCGGCGGCGCGCGGGGCAGCCGCGGCAGCGAGGGCGCCGTCGGGCGGGGCTCTCGACGCCCAGGCTTAAAGTCGGGCCTGTCCCTCTACAGGAGGAATGTTCAGAAATAGTCCAGAAATAGTCTGGGCACTATTTTTGGAATATTGTTTGACCATTTTGGGGTACTTTTTTTTGACTATCTTATATTTTTCGTAGAAAATCCCCCTGTAGGGGGACACGCCCGACTTAAGCCTAGGCCAAGATGCTCACGACCATCCAGGACCTGCAGCTTCAGGCATCTCGGCTCGCAGGTGGCCATCCCCCGCCGAGCGGAGCGAGCGTCCGCGCCGCGGACCTCCACGGGTGGCGACACGCTGGGCGAAGCAGAGCTGGGGGGACCCCAACCACCCGACGTGCTCGGCTACCGCAAGAGGCTTGGCGTCGACAGCTCGGCCATCGATTGAGCAGGGGCCGACCGTCCCGGCATTCCTCTAGTCCTACCACGAAATGTTCCTAGAAGCCAAACATGTTCTAATAACAAAAACAATGATCTTAGAACACAATCCCGATGTGTTAAAACAAGACAATCCCAACCAGACATGTTCTAAGAACATTTCGTGGGAACCACAAAAGGTTCTTAGAATATTGCTTGGTAGGACCATAGGCACGCCAGGACGCTTCGCCACTGCTTGAATCGAAGCTGTCCAGGAGGCCGGCAAGGGTACGGAGTCCGAGACGAAGGCGCCGACAGCTCAGTCGGCGCGCTGAAGGCGGCGAACCTCAAGGCCAAGATCGCCAAGCTGGAGGCGCGTTCGGTGGACATCGATGCAGTCTCGCCCTGCCCAAGTCTCGGTTCTCTCCGTGAGCTCTCGCTAAGAAGCTGAAGATATACTTTCCCGTTCTACTCCCCCGTGGCTTACAGAAGGGAGCCTGGTTGCCGACACCCTGGCCGCGGAGACGGCCCACCGTGCTCGCGTCCCCGACGAGGCGCGAGCCCGCGCCGTCAAGGCCGAGAGGGCAGCCTAGCTGGTGCGGCACCGCCTCCTGCGCGCCTCGGCGGACGGGCTGAATGGCCGAGGAACGGGGCGGGAACGGCGCTGTGAGGAGCAGTGGCCCTCCTCCTCCTCCTCCGCCTCCTCCCCCTCCGCCTCCTCGGGCCTTCTGAGAAGCCCCCGATGCCTTCGGAAGCCTTCTGAGCCTTCTGAGAAGGCCCGCCCCCCCTCGGACCTCAATAGTTTTGGGGCCATAACTCGGCTCCGCGGAGGCCGTTCGGGACGATCTGGGCATCCCCGGAACGTCCGAAAACCTCGAACCTCGACCCTCGAGTCCCCTCTGCCCTCCCCCCCCTGGGCGCGTCTCCGAAACCATCCTTCCTGGCGGGACGGAGAGCGCTCCGAGCCTTCTCCAGGGCCTCCGCGTCCTGCAGGAGCACCTTCGGACACGGCGCTCGGAGGTAGCACTGGCACTGGAGTCAAGGACAACGAGGCATTCATTTCTGCAGACTTCCGAATTCCTGTCGTTGCGACTGTGGCAGGGCGTCTGGTGAAAAAGCGGACGCAAGGCCCACCCCGTCTGGTCCTGTCATCCCTCCCCATACACATGTTGATGCAGGGCTGCTGCTTCTGACTACTCTTGGAGGGAAAGGACGGGGAGCTGCCCTGTTGAGGGGCGACATCATCCAGCATGCCAAATACAGCATGCTCTTATGAACAACGTTGCACGAGAAACACCTGATCCGTGCACAGAACAGCACACGATGCTAGCCAAGAAGCTGCAATAAGAGAGGATGTCAGTGCCGACAGGACGATGCCTATACTGATTATGACCCTAGCCCTGTTCCACGTCGACGGTCTTCGCCTACACCATCTTTGCCCCCTTCGCAACCCCACTCTCATCATCATAAAACCACCTCTGCCGTTCTCGTCAGCACTGTCCTCCTCAGTCTGACCATCACTATGCGGGGCAAATATAAAGGGGGGACCAGCTCAAGGGGGCAACATCGAGCTGGAATCGGCGAGACATCGCCCATAGATCGGCGATAGGTCCCCGATCGCGAGTCCGCAAGGCCCTGGGCGGGGTGGGTTAATTGGGCCAGTATCGGCGATGAATGGGTGATTGGGGGTCGATGCGCCCCCCCTGAGCCTATCCCCCACACACAATTTTTGTCCCTGGCACAGACTCCTGAATGCTCATGTCCTTCGAACTCTTCGCCGTATATCTCTGTTTCGATGGCACCAACCTTCCGCACGGCTAGCTGCTCGCCGGTGTCGGTATCGGTGCCCACGTACACGTAGGCAAAGCCACCGTCGGCCAGGAGCTTTCCTCCAGGAGGAGGAGTGTGGCAGGCACACACATACACACTACAAGATCTGCACTTACGTGAATTTTATATAATATTTTACTGGATGGTGTTATATGATATTGTGATATATGATATAGCGCTATATCGTGATATATTATGTTATGCCATGTTGCAATGTATTCTGTTATTTTTATATACACATATTTCCCTCCCTCTTTTTGTTTCAAGCCCCCGGGGAGGGGACCTCCAAAAAATCCGGATCTCCGGATCTGTTGCCCTGGGGGCCCCCTGGAGTCCAGGGGGCCCCCAGGGCAACAGATGGGCCCCCAGGGCCCCCAGGGCAACAGGGCTTCCTGCAGGGGCGTCCACGGTGGACGCCCCTGCAGGAAGCCCCCCAAGCTTTCCGGAGCTCTTGGAAGAACCTGCTAGGCCTAGGCAACGGGCCCAAACCGGTCAGGAGGGCGGCCGAATAGCCCGCCGAGGGCCCCAAGAGGCCCCAGACACCCACCAGAGCACGAAGACGACCCAACGAAGATACCCAAGAGGCTTTCGAAACGCCTAAAAACATTAATTTCCAATGGTTTCAAAATGATTTGGGGAATACTCTGTTCTTCGGTCGTCTGGGAGTCCGAGATCGCCCAGGAAGCCCGAAAATCGGCCCAAAACTATCCGAAAGGGCTTCCAGGCAGTCCAGGAAAGCCCCAAGAAGGCACAACAGGGTTCCAAGATTGCCCGAAGAGATCCCCATGACGGCCCACGATGGCCGCAAGGCGCCCCCGAAGCATCCCACGCTTCGCGCCATGCACCTTGATCCTGGAAGTTTGGCATGCAGACGGAAGGGCAGGGAGGTAAAGCAGGTAATTTAGCGATAGCGCCTTGTTGTTTTTTTCCGGCATCGCCGTTCTACAAATGTTATTCGTTATACGTCCCTCGTGTTTCCTCTTCCTCTTCCCCCTTCATGTCCTACCCTGCGAATTCTTCCTCACCCTCCTCGAGTCTTTTTTGCATAGACTCCTCCTCGCAGAACCTCGCGGTCTCCCTGAACCACCGGGCCACGATTTGGAATGCTTCGGGGGGTCTTGGGGCCATCTTGGGCCGTCATGGAGCTCTCGTCGGGCCATCTTGAGACCCTATTGGGCCGTCCTGAGGCTCTCTTGCAGTGCCTGGAAGCCCTTTCGGACAAGTGTGGGGGGCCACTTTCGGGCCTCCTGGGCGATCTCGGACGCCCGGGAGACCAGAGAACGGAGCGTTCCTCGAATCATGCAAAGGCCATGGGACGTGACTGTTTGCTTGCCCTTCGAAGGCCTCTTGAGGGTGTCCTCCTCTTCGGGTCGTCTTCGGGCGCCTGGTGGGTGTCCAGGGATCGCCTGGGGCCTTCGCGGAGCCGTTCGGCCGCCCTCCTGACCGTTTTGGGCCCGGTGCATAAAAAGCATATATATATATATATATATATATGTATGTGTGGATACATACGTGAAGAGCACCAAGGACAAGTAGAAAGAGAGAGCAAGAGAAAGAGAGAGAGAGGGGAACAACAAACATATGTTGGCACCTGCCTTCCTGGCCCCCCCTGGCGAGAACCGGGGACACCAGAAAGGTAACGGACAGCCTCTTCCACGAGCGCGCATGCCCCCCAAGTCCATCTGCAGAAGATGCAATCTGTCTTGGGCTGCTGCCCGCCACGAAAGCCGGGGGTACCAGACAGACAACGAACAACCCCTTCAACGGGCGAGTATGCCCACACGCCTCTCTGCAGGGAATGCGGCCTGTCGCGGGCTGCCCGCAGCGAAAACCACCGCAGCCAGAGAGATAACGAAGGGCCGCTTTTTCGGAGCAGGGCGAACGGAGACAATGGCACCTCTGCGGAACGGGAAAATGACCACAGCCACTGCTTCTTGCTTGCACCGCCTTCCAGCAGGCCAAACAAGAAGCAGTGGTTGTGGTCATTTCCCTGGTGCCAAGCTCAACGAAGATGACCACAACCACTGCTTTGTTTCTGCGGGCTGGAAGGCGGCAGCAAAAGAGAAGCAGTGGCTGTGGTCGTTTTCACGCCCCGTAAACTCAAAATCGGTCCCTATGGTCCAAACGCACCAATTTCCTGAGCTGCGTCCAGCCGTGGCGACGAGGGCCCCCCCGAAGGCCAACTACGGCAGGCTCGTGTCGTGACGACCCTGGCGCTGGTTTCCGACACCGCGTGGATCTTTCAACCTTCAGCGATCGGTGGCTTTTCGATCGCCAGATTGCTCCAGATTTGCAGATTTTGGCCCGCCGGAGGCGGTCAACCTGGAACGCTCGCGGCGGGGTTGCCGCCGCCCCAACACGACGCGCGGACTTGCCGTACCGTTGTCTCAACTCGCCCTCCTCTGTTTCTGTCCCGGCCATCCTGTGGTGTTGGGTCCTCGTCTTGAAGAGACAGCGCCCCGCGTGCCTCCCTTCCACCTCCTCCTCCCGTCCTCTCTCCTCCCACCCCTACCTCCGCCCTCCGCATGTCCATTCGCCCCCCCCCCCCCCCCCCTCTTCCCCCTCCTTCTTTTTGTTCTCCGCCTCAGTCTACAATTTCGACACTCCCTTTGCACGTTTCGTGGCCCCACAGGGGGCTCCACCGAAGGTCCCAGTGGCACCGTCCGCATGCGTCCCGCCACCCAGTTCGGCAAACCCATCACACGTTTCGTGGCCCCGTAGGGAGCTCCACCGAAGGTCCCAGTGGCACCGTCCGCATGCGTCCCCGCCGCCCACTTCGGGTGCGTGTGCGTTTATGTTAACACTTTCCGTGGTCCCAATGGTAGCTGCACCGAAGGTCCCAGTTGCACCGTCCGCATGCGCCCCTGCCGCCCATTTCGGCACACACCCCACACGTTCGTGGCCCCATGGGGGGCTCCACCGAAGGTCCCAGTGGCACTGTCCGCATGCGCCCCTTGCACAAATTTCGGCACATCCTTCACACGCTTCGTGGCCCCATCGGGAGCTGCACAGAAGGTCCCAACGGCACCGTTCGCGCGCGTCCCCAACATATATGTTGGCACACCCCTCACACTTTTCGTGGCCCCGTAGGGAGCTCCACCGAAGGTCCCAATGGCACCGTCCGCATGCGTTCCCGCTCCAAATGTCGGCACACCCCTCAAACATTTCGTGGCCCCATGGGGAGTTCCACCGAAGGTCCCAGTGGCACTGGTCGCATGCGTCCCTGGCACCCATCTCGGCCCCCCCCCCACCCGTTTCGGGGCCACCTAGGGAGCTCCACCGAAGGCGAGGCTTACAACTGCGTTACCCGCAACTGCATATGGTTGAGCCCTTCGCCAGCCTAATCTCGGCTACACGCAAGAGTGACCCTGGGTAAGAGTGACCTTTAGTGCGCGGTTTTTGGGGACCGCGGGGGGACAGAACACAAGCGCACAAGACGCTACCACCGCATCGCGTTCGGCGATCGGGGGACCCCATTTGGCCCGCACCAAAGGTCACTCCGGCGAAAGGTCACTCTTACGTCTAGTCGAGAACCTTCGTGCTGCATCGAGCACCCCTCCAGACCCGCGGGCCGCGGCCCCGGACCCAGCACGGGGTCGAAAACGAGCGTGGCGTTGCCGTCCCCGGCGCGGCGGAGGCCCGCTGGACCACGGCGCACTGCCACTGCTGAGAGAGGGGGGGCGGACGAGGAGGAGGAGGAGGAGGAGAAGGAGGAGGAAGAGGAGGAGGAGGAGGAGGAAGAGGACGAGGAGGAGGAGGAGGAGGACGAGGAGGAGGAGGAGGAGGAGGAGGAGGAGGAGGAGGAGGAGGAGGAGGAGGAGAGGAGGCATGAGGAGGAGGGCGGCAGGAGGAGGCAGGAGGAGGTGGAGGTAGGAGGAAACGGGGCACCTGCAAGCAAACATGTAACGCCCCGACGAGCACGCATGCCCCCCCCCCGGTTCTGCCTGCAGGAGGTGTGGTCCGTCCGCCGCGGGAACGGTGCGTGGCGCTCATCCCCCCTGTGCTCTTGCGCGGTTCGTTGGGCCAATCCTGGCTCCTCCTGCCTTCTCCCGCCTCCCTCCTCCTGCCTCCCTCGTCCTGCCTCCTTCCTCTTCCTCCTCCTCCTCCTCCTTCTCCTCCTCTTTCTCCTCCTCCTCCTCCTCCTCCTGCCTCCTGCATCCTGCCTCCTCTCTCCTGTTGCCTCCTTATGCATCCTTCCACCGCCGTCTTCCTGCCTCCCTCCTCCTGCCTCCTTCCTCCTCATCCCTCCTCCTCATCCTCTCCTCCTCCTCTCCTCCTCCTCCTCGTCCTCCTCCTCCTCCTCCTCCTCCTCCTCCTCCTGCCTCCTCCTGCCTCGTTCCTCTTCCGCCTCCTCTTCCCCGCTCGTCCCCACTCCTCCCGTCCTCCCCAGCCTGGAGATAGGCAGGCTCGCGCCTTGCACCACGTTCCGCCCTGCGACGACCAGGCTGGCGGCGGCGTCTCTGCGACCTGTGCACGGGGTGGTGGATGATGATGGTGATGGTGATGGTGACGGTGACGACGATGGTGATGATGATGCTGATGATGCTGATGATGATGATGATGATGATGCTGATGATGACGATGATGATGATGACGATTATGATGATGCTGATGATGATGATGCTGATGATGCTGATGATAATGATGATGATGATGATGGTGATGATGATGATGATGACGATGATGATGATGACGACGATGATGATGATGATACCGATGATGATGATGATGGTGATGCTGATGATGATGCTGCTGGTGATGATGCTGGAGGAGGATGCTGATGACGATGCTGGGGATGACGATACTGGTGATGCAGATGATGATAATGATGATGCCGGTGACGACGACGACGACGATGCCGGTGACGATGATGCTGATGATGCTGCTGATGATGGTGATGATGATGATGATGATGGTGATACTGATGATAATGCTGATGATCAGGATGGTGGTGGTGATGGTGATGATGATGAGGATGATGATGATGATGCTGAGGAGGAGGATGGCGATGTTGATGATGATGACGATGATGAATATGATGCTGCTGGTGGTGATGATGACGATGACGATGATGATCACGATGACGATGGCGACGACGATGATGATGATAAGGAGGTTATGATGATGATAGTGATGATGGTGACGACTATGATGATGCTGATGGCGATGCTGATGACGATGTGGATTATGATGCTGATCATGGTAATGAGAACGGTGATGCTGCTGCCGCTGTTGTGATGATGAGGATGATGCTGATGATGAAGAGCAGGATACTTAGGATGCTGATGCTGTTGATGCTGATGATGCTGATGATGTTGATGCTGATGATGTTGTTGATCCTAATGATAACGCTGCTGGTGGTGGTGATGATGATAAAGATGATGGCGTTGATGACGCCGATGCCGCTGATGCGGGTGATGGTGCTGGTGATGGTGGTGATGCTGATGTTGATGATGATGATGCTGATGATGACGCCGACGACGCTGATGATGATGAAGATGATGAAGATGATGAGGAGGATCATCGAACAAGAGGAAGAGGAGGAGGATCAAGGGGGAGGGGGAGGAGGAGGGGGAGGAGGAGGAGGAGGAGGAGGAGGAGGGGGAGGAGGAGGCGGAGGAGGAGGAGGAGGAGGAACGATGAAGAGGGGGAGGGAGCGGAGGAGGAGGAGGAGGACGACGAGGAGGAGGAGGACGAGGAGGAGGAGCAGGAGGAGGAGGAATAGGAGGAACAAGTGGGGATTCTCCTCGAGGGCAAGGTGCCCTGGGATCAGGTGATGTCGCTCCCGCCAGTGGCGTCCCTTTCAGAGCGCCTGACGTGAGCAGGAGCTGCGCAGGAGGGGAGCCTCAGCGGCTGCGCAGGAGGGGAGGGAGGGGGCGAACGGGGAGGGGTGCGACGGGGGAGGAAGGCGAAGGACGACTGGAAGGGAGAGGAGAGGCACCATGGTGATGAGGAGGAGGAGAAGGAGGAGAAGGAGGAGAAGGAGGAGGAGGATGAGGCGGAGCGCGACAGCGAAGGGCAGCTGCCCCTCCTCGCGAACAGCCGCGTGCAGCTGCCACGGGTGAGTCGCTGAAGTGTGCTGTCCAGTCCGCGCGACCAGGCACAACGAACTAGCCGCTGTCATGGAGGAGACGCTGCACACGCTGGAAGAAGAACAGGGTCAGAAAGGGGCTAGACGTATAACAGTAAGCATGCTGCAACCATAAGGCGTGCATCCATGACACATGCCTGCGTACTTCCATGCCGTCAGAGGTCATCGCTAGCTGGTAAGGGGGCGAAAGTGGAGGGGTGGAGGAAGAGGAGAATACCGTTTCATCTCTGGCCCCCTCGCCGCACTCGAACGTAAGGGATGAGATCCCTTATCCCTTACATCATGCCAGCGCACAAATCTGGGTGACACCACGGGAGCCCCCATATCCCACGGGCCCTCCCAAGGCCCGCCGGCGGAAGTTCCCTCCCCTGGTGCTGCTGGAGGTTCCAAGGCCCGCATCGAGGGCGGGTGGGTGGGGCAACGGCGTGCGGAGCACCCAGCACCGAGAGGAGAAGACATCCAAACATGCTTCCAGATGGGTTGGCTCACGGCAAGCTGCCAGGGGTACACCGTCCTCCCCACAACGCCCGCTGCAAGTGCTTGCGGGTGAGGGTAGGTGGGGCCAGATTGTGACTTCAAGGACGGGCCGCTTGAGCCACACCAGCAGCAGAGTGCGGCTACCATGGTGGCGAGAGCAGGCGACAACAGAACGCAACGCAGTGCACGCCCTCCTGACCATGTTATAGTGGGAGGGGGCTGAGGAAGCAGGCGTGTCTCTTGCCAGGTCTACGTTGCTGTTTGCTCTGGCGCTTATGCACTCAAACGTCTCATAGCTATCGTGGTCAACAGCCGCCGCCGTGGTAACATGACGGGAGGTGATTGTCGAGATGGTATTGGAAACCGTTTTGCTTTGCAACGGGCATCACTCGTACCGCGATGCACTCGATCACAAGCCAAGTCGTTGGGCAGGGCACGTGTAGGATTGCGGCCTGATAGTGATGGTGCGCTTCCACAGAGTGAGCGGCACAAACGCCATTCCAAATGTACACTTGATCGGGCTTGACGTTTGCATTCCCTCGGCGCCCATCCGCTTGCTTCAACCCAAGATGGCGTGACACATAAAGTGGCATCCGTCACGGTACACCGCGGTCGCTGGTTTCCTGCAACGCCCTCTCCTCGTTCTCCTCCTTATCCTCCTGCCCCTCTTCGTCGTCGGTGCCGTCTTCCTTCTCCTCCTTCTCATTCGCCTTCGTCTCATCATCCGCTTCCTTCCACTCCTCCTCCTCCCCCTCACCCCATGGTGCGTGTATATATATATATATATATATATAAATATACACATGCGCTGATGGATAGAGAGAGAGGGGGGGGAACGAGAGAGAGAGAGAGAGGCTTGGATGTCAGGGCAATTCAAAGCGAGGACCGCGCTGTGCGTCCAATCCTTCCTGCGCGGCGTTGACGACTCCTCGAATGAATCGCATCGCGTGGCAGCGCTACCTACTAGGACCATGCCTCGAACAAGCAAAAGCTGCGAGGGCACTCGACCGCTAATCCATAGTATCCTCATCTTCCTCGTCCTCATCAACACGCTATTCTTCCTCTGCTTCATCATCCCCCATATCCAACGTGCATTCCTTCACCATCCTACCTTTCCCTGCCTTTCCTCCTCCTCCTGCTGCTGCTCCTCATCCTCTCCTCTCCTCTTCTCTCCTCTCCCCTCTCATCTCCTCTCCTCTCTTCTCCTCTCCTCTCCTCTCCTCTCCTCTCCTCTCCTCGTCTCTCCTCTCCTCTCCTCTCCTCTCCTCTCCTCTCCTCTCCTCTCCTCTCCTCTCCGCCTCCTCCTCCTGTCCTTTCCTCTCCTCTTCTCTCCTCTCCTCTCCTCGCTCCTTCCTCTCCTCTCCTCTCCTCTCCTCTCCTCTCCTCTCCTCTCCTCTCCTCTCCTCTCCTCTCCTCTCCTCCTCATCTTCCCCCTCCTCTCCTCCTCATCTTCCCCTCCCCTCCACTCCTATCATCTCCTTTCCTCCTCCTCCTCCTCCGTATCCGCCCTTTCCCCCTCTCCTCTTCTCTTCTCTCCTCATATGTTTTATCCTCTCCACCCCTCTCCTCTCCCCGGCTGCACAGAAGAGTGACCCCAGACCAGAGTGACCTTTGGCGCGCAGCTTTGGGGGCGCCCGTGGGTGCCCAACGCAACCGAGCAAGCCGCTGCTGTCGCACCGCATCAGCGATCGGCGGGACGCGCCTCGAAAAATCCCCAACGACAGCGGGCAACCGCGGAATTCCGCCCATTCGATTCGGGTGCCCCGAATGACACCCCGCAGGCGCTGCGAAAGCAGATGCTGCCAGGGTTCACCACGATGAGATCGAGTACTGCTGGACCGCATCGCGATGACGTCTGACCAGGCCTGGTGTCGTGGCCCAAACTGCCCCCCCCCCCCCCCCCCCCGTGAGGCCCTGGAATCGACTTGAATAATTTTGCATTTCAACCGTAAAGAACAGGTTCGGGTTCTTATTCAAAGCTGTTCAAAGATATTCACAAGTACTCAAACATATCCAAACTCATGATCATACCCAATGGTGTGATCTCGCACTGAATTATTTCGACCGATCGACCGTGCCTGGGTGTGCTGGGATGTGTCGGTGCGCTGCCTCGGTGTGCTGGGGTGTGCTGGGATCGGATGTGTCGGACGTACTGGGATGTGCGCTGGAGGCTGGGATGCGTGCTGTGATGTGCTGGAATACGTGCTGGTCGTGGCCGCCTGCTTGTGCTGGGATGTGTGCTGACATGTGTCGGTGTGCGCTGGGGGTGCTGGGATGTGTGGGTGTGTTGTGATGTGCTGGGGTACGGGAGGTGTGCTGGGTGTGCTGTGATGTATGGGTGTGCTGTGAAGTGTTGCAGTATGTGCTTGCCGTGGCCCCCCTAGGTGTGCTGGGATGTTTGTTGGGATGTGTCGGTGTACTGCCTGGGTGTGCTCGGAGCTGGGATGGTTAGGTCGGGCGCGTCCTCCTACAAGCGGATTTTGGACGAACAAATCGGCCGGCCCCTTTGCGGGGCCATCAGGCTGCGAGGCTTAAGCTTGCTGCTCCCTGCCCCAGTTCCAGTTTCCAGTTTCCATTGTTACAGTGCTGCGTTCTGCTTCCTACTGTAAATTGTTACTGTCCGCACGAGGGGGGGAGCCGAAAACCACCCTGGTTAGCGTCCCCCGGGAGGGTTCTCAGAATTCCTGGGGGGGTAAAAATTGACACCCCTCACGCAAATCGGCGGGGTCAGGGTCCACACACACACACACACAAGGGATTTGCCACATTTCTGAAATTCGGTGGCACCCCTCACGCAGATCGGCGGGGTCAGGGTCCAAAAACACTGGGGATTTGCCACATTTCTGAAATTCGGTGGCACCCCTCATGCAGATCGGCGGGGTCAGGGTCCAAAAACACAAGGGATTGGCCACATGTCGGAAATTCGGCGGCACCCCTCACGCAGATCGGCAGGGTCAGGGTCGAAAAACAAATAGGTCCCGACACTGCTTCACGGCAAAGCCAAAGCCTCATGACTTCGCTCTTCCATGGCCCATTCTCCGAGAGAGGGGGCCGGCGGCAGGGGGCGAAGCCCTTACGGATTAAAAATAGTCAAAATAAATCAGAATTGGCAAAAACATCTCAACAAATCTTCCCCAGACGATTTTCAAACTATTTTTGAATTTTCCTCCTGTAGAGAGACGTGCCCGACTGAATGGGATGCGTCGGTGTACTTACTCGGTGTGCCGAGCTCGGTGTGCTGAGATGCGTGGACGTCCCCGGTGTGCTGGGATGTGTGTGTATGTGCGCTGGGTGTGGTGTGCTGAGCTCGGTGTGCTGAGATGTGTGGGCGTCCCCGGTGTGCTGGGATGTGTGTGCGTGTGTGCTGGGTGTGGTGTGCTGGGCCGTAGCCCCCTGGGTGTGCCCTGGGATGTGCGCTGGGACGGGTCGTGTACCGTGTGCTGCCTCGGTGAGCCGGGATGTGTGCCGTCCGCGGACTCCCCGGGAGTGCCGGGCTATCTTAGAAGAAGAAGATGAAGAAGAAGAGAAACCGCATAAACATAAGCTTTTGGCGCTCCGCGCGGATTATACTTGGATTCGCGCTGGAGCCCCCTCTCTGACGCGCGGAGCGCGCCAGGGGCGGCGCCAGAGGCGCCGCCGTGGGGGCCCAGGCGCGGATCCAAGAAATCCGCGCGGAGTGCCAAAAGTTTATATGTTTATATTGCTCTGTCTTCTGCGACATCTGCTCGGCGTGCGGAGATGTGCGGACGCGCCCGGCTGTGAGCTGGGGATGCTGGGATGCGTGCGTGTGCTGTGTTGTGCTGGGATGCGTGCTGGGATGTGTGCTGGGTGTGTGGGTGTGCTGTGATTAGACGAGCGTGTTCCACTACTCGCAAAGTGACTACTCGTAAATGGCCTGAATCCCCCGCGGAGGATCTACGATACAGTACATCAAAGCAGACATGTGTTTTTCGGATGTTTGCGAGTAGGCACTTTGCGAGTAGTGGAACGAGCTCGGTGAGTGATGTGCTGCGACCCTGGGTGTGCTGGGATGTGTGCTGGGATTTGTCAGTGTACTGCATCGGTGTGCCAGGATATGTGCTGGCCGTGGACCCCCTGGGAGTGCTGGTGTGTGTGTGTGTGTGTTCGGTGTGCTGAGATGCGCGGACGTACTCGGCTGTGCGCTGGGGGTGCTGGGATGTGTGGGTGTGCTGTCATGTGCTGGGATATGTGCTGGGATGTGTGCAGAGTTTGCTGTGCTGTGCGGGTGTACTGTAGCCCCCTGGGTGTACTGGGATGGGTGCTGGGGGTGCTGGGATGTGTGGGTGTACTGTGATGTGTGCTGGGTGTGGTGTGCTGGGCTGGGCTGTGTGCTGGGTGTGCTTGTGCTGGGATGTGAGAGCGTACTCCTGGCCGTGGCGCTTCCCTCCCCTCCCGCTCCCCTCCTTTTATTCCGACCGACCGTGCTTCCTCCCCTTCCCCCCAGTGGCCCCGTCCCCTGATTCCGACCGACCGTTCCCCCCCCCTCCCCACCATGGCCTTCGCTTCACCCCCCGCCCCCCTCCCCTCATTTCGACCGACCGCTCTCCCCCTCTCGCCCCCCGCTGCCCCCCCGCCTCCCTTCTCCTATTCCGACCGACCGTGCCCCCCCCTCCCCCTGTGGCCCTCTCCCCTTCTAACGACCGGCCGAGCTCCACCCCCGCTGTCAGATTGTGGCCCCCCGCTCCCCCCCCTGTTCTTTCTTCCAACAGACCGGGCCGGAGCCCTCCGCCCCCCTTCTCCCCCCGTGACACCCCTTCCTTTTGTCCGACCGACCGTGCCCCACTCCCCCCCTGCCCAACCGTGGCTCACCGCTCCCCCCCCGCCCCCCGACCAGGTCTCCCCCCCAACGAGGGAGACAAATGGCGCCTACTCGAGACCGTTGGCCACGCCGTCGTCCCCATCCGCTGGGGCCCAGGGCACGACGAGCAGCCCGCGGAAATGAGACCTGAACCCCTGCCGGGGCAATCCCAGGACCGGCGTTTCATCCTGGCCCGTTTTCGACAACCCTTTGGGCCCAGGGCGGGACCTGGGAGCCCAGAAGCAGCGACAAAACCTGGCGCGATGAGGAGTCTCTGGCGCATGTCTGCGGGAATACGAGGGCGCACGATGATGATGCCGCTGATGATGAAGATGACCACGGCCATGTTGCTGCTGATGCTGCTGCTGCTGCTGCTGCTGCTGCTGATGATGATGATGATGATGATGATGATGATGATGATGTGGTGGTGATGGTGGTGGTGGCGTGGTGGTGTTGATGGTGGTGGTGGTGATGAGGCTGATGTTTACTATGATTACGAGGGCGCGCGGAACACCGCCACGGTCCGCGCGATGTGGGCGAACTCACAGCCCTCCCGGAGGACGAGCGTGGCGCCCCGGTCAAGCAGGAAGCCAGTCTCCTCCTCAACGAGGGAGACGAAGGGTGCCTCCAGGCAAACAAAAATACTGCACAGACATCAACTTCTGGAGGTCCGCGCGGATTTCTCGGAAGAAATCCGCACGGACCTCCCAAGGGGAACCCAAAGGTACCGGTACCGCTGCTCCCCAGTGCTGCTTAGGATGTCGAGGCGAACCCAGCCGTGGCGACGAGGGCCGCCCTGGAGGCCCAAAAAGGTGACAACGCGGGAATGGTAGCGGTATGAAGCATCTTTTCCCCCAGCGCCGACCCAAGAAAGCCGCGCGAACCTCAGAAAGTGTATGTTCATGCAGCTCTTTATTCTTCGAGCCTCCTCGAGGCCCCTGGCAGCCGTTCGGGACGATCTGGGCAACCCCGCAACGCTCCGCGACGCGCAGCCGCTGGAACGCATCCCGAGGCTTGAGAACAGCCAAGGGCCACGAACACGCCCGAAGATCCCCCAAACCTCGAGCCCGAGGGTCCCAAGCTTCCCTCTCTCTCGCTTCCCCCCTCTCGGCGGCGACGAGAAGGGCGAATAGCCCAGGGGCGGGCATTACACGTATTCGCCCGGAAGCCTTGTCGAAGACATAGACTGGCCATCGCTCGGACGTCCATTCCCTGTGCTTTTCTCGGCTTCGTGCGTGGCTTTTTCGCCACATGATCACGGATGCTCGTCGATCGTCCTCGCCGAAGGAAAAATGCACACGTCCGAGCGATGCCAAGTAGATCATCGGCGCCCCTGGGTCCATGTGTTGCTCTCCCCTGGGCTATTCGCCCCTAGTCGTCGCCTCGGACCCTCGGCGCGCCTCCTCCTCCTCCTCCTCCTCCTCTTTATCCTTCTCCTCCTCCTCCTCCTCCTCCTCCTCCTCTTATCCTCCTCCTCTTATCCTTCTCCTCGTCGTCCTCCTCCTCCTCCTCCTCCTCCTCCTCCTCCTCCTCCTCCTCCTCCTCCTCCTCCTCCTCCTCCCCCTCGGCGCGCCGCCGCGCCTCGAGGCCGCCGGCCGCGCCGCCGTCCCCGCCCACCGCGGCCCAGGACACGACGAGCCCGCGCAGGGCGTGCCGGGCGGCGTTGCCCAGCAGGGCGCGCGCCTGCGGCTCGGGCACGTGGGCCGCCACCTGGACGGCGACGACGACGACGGCGACGACGACGACGGCGACGACGACGACGGCGACGACGGCGACGGCGACGACGGCGACGACGGCGACGGCGACGACGACGACGGCGACGACGACGACGACGGCGACGGCGACGACGACGACGGCGACGACGACGACGACGACGGCGACGGCGACGACGACGACGACGGCGACGACGACGAAGACGACGACGAAGACGAAGACGACGACGACGACGGCGACGACGACGACGACGACGACGACCGCGACGGACGGCAGGCGGCGGACGACGGACGACTCACGGACGACGAACGACGGACGACAGACGACGGACCCTGAGATCTTGGCGTCGTAATGTTTCGCCACTGGCGATTTTGCCTTGTCTCGGGTCCCGAGACCCTCCCTCAGAGATCGGTACGGCTCGAAAAGTGCAGCAGAAAGATGGGGGCCCTTGGCCCTTGGCTCCAGTCGTGACTTGCCGCGGTGTTGTATTTCGTTCGCAGCGTCGGGTCCGAGGGTTCAGGAAAGGGCTCCCGCGCACGATGGCGCGGCGAGATCTCATGTCGCGGCCTAGTGACGCAGGCCGCCGACGCAGCGCACCGCGCGAAGAGGGCACTCGCTTGCGTGGGCCGCCACCGGAACGACGGACGGGGAAAGGGCTCTCGCGCACGACGGCGCGGCGACACTTCCGCGACGGCTCACGCAGGCCGCCGACGCGGCGCGCCGCGTGAAGGCGGAGGGCGCTTACTCGCGAACCCGCGCGAGCCTCCGACGTCATGTTTTAAAGAGCATATTCTATAACGTTGACCCCCAGAGGTCTCGACCCACTCCCTGGGACTGGCTCTTCATCCCGAGTCGTTTCTGCGACGCCCCTGGGGCCCAGCGAGGGCCCTCGAGGGCCGAACACGACCGAGAGCCTTCCGTCGTGACTGCCTTTCACGACCCAATGGGGTCCTCGGACCAGGCGGGGCCTCCGAGCGAATGCCGCCTCGCCCTGGCTTTGGCACCGCCCGCCTCCAGGCAGAGGACCCAGTCGAACTTCCGCCAGAGCTCCACGGCGCTGCCCAGGTTAACCTCCAGCACGGCCCCCCTGGCGCGGGGGAGCGGTCTACGGCGGGCACGCGCGGGACAGTTCTTCGCGCCTGTCGTGCAGCCTCGAGCTTGCCGGGGTGCCCCAGGGCTGGAGGAGGAGGAGGAGGAGGAGGAGGAGGAGGAGGAGGAGGAAAGGAGCCGCGCCCCCTGCAGGACGGGCTCGATGCCACAACGGGGGCCCTGGCCTCGGCGACGCGCCGCCGGCATAACACATCGGCCAGCGGCCCCCGATGGAGAACCCGCACGGCGAGGCGGGGATTTATCTTTAGGTCGGGCCTGTCCCCCTACAGGGGGATTTTCGACGAAAAATAAAACATACGCACAACATACTCCCAAAAAAAATGCTCCAAAATACTCAAAACAATTCCCAATCAGAGCTTGCCTCTGTAGGGGTTCCAGCGGATTCATATGGTCAGGTTAGGTTTGTCGCCGATTTTCGCTGCACGCCTGGGTGCCCGGGTGCCCGGGTGCCCGGGGGTGCCCGGGGCCCGGGTGCCCGGGGGGTGCCCGGGGGTGCCCGGGGGGTGCCCGGGGGGTGCCCGGGTGCCCGGGTGCCCCGGTGCCCGGGCGTGCCCGGGGGGGCCCTATAGCCCTAAGCCCTATAGCCCTATAGCCCAATAGCCCAATAGCCCTATAGACCTACAACTCTATAGCCCTATAGCTCTATAGCCCTATAGCTCAATAGCCCTCTAGCCCTATAGCCCTGATTGGGTTTTCCTCCAGTATCATCCCCAAATTATTATTCACTATTTTGGAATATTCCTACTGTAGAGGGGCAGGCTCGACTTAAATTTATCCACATCCACCGCCTGGGAACCGATGTCCTGGTGCCCCAGCGGGCGGCGGATAGGGCTAGGTTTTGGCCCCCGGGGGCCCGAATCCATCCACATCCACCGCCTGCCGGAGGTCCCCGAGAATTGGTCCTCCAGGCGGTGATCATGTATAGATTCCCGCCTCGGACGCACCTTCCTGGGAGAGGCGGACTAGCAGGCCCCTGCCGGCGATGCATGGGCGATCGGGGGCCTAAGCGTTTCGCCCTGAGCCTACCCCCTGCTAACGTTGCCCCTGACCTGGTGATCTCGTAGATGGAGTTGGCGGCGTCGAACGCAAACGCCTCGGCCAGGCCGGTGTCGTTCAGCCACTGGCTGTAGCCCCCGCCGCCGGCGCCGAAGTCCGCGACGGAGGGCCGCAGCGCGCTGGAGTAGTCTGGCCGCAGGCAGTGGCGCAGAAGCCCGCGAAGAAGCCCCTTATCCACCTGCCAGCCGCCGAAAATTTGGCGGCGCATGCACTCGAACGACGACACGACGCCGTCCTCGCTCTTGCTCCACTGCTTGTGCTGGCCAGGGAGGATACCGGCACGCATGCGCGCGACCTCGACCTGGAGTGCCTCGAGCACCTCCTGCGCGTGGTGCTCCAGCCACTTCTGCACCGACGAGATCCACATGTTTCCGAATATCACGTTCTCCGACCAGCTCACGTTTGGCGGAGGGCCACCTGGACCGTTCTCTGCCTGTCCGTCCTCGTCTACTTCACGCCAGGACGTTACGTCTCCTAGGGCACCGAAGGCCACCCCGTTCCACAAGAGCGCGTCGTAGTCCCCGTGGATCTTCTTCCAGGTGACCGCCGCGTTCATCAGCACGGCGCGGAAGCCCTCGGACAGGCAGCTGTCTTGGTCGTCCGCGGCCACTGCTGCCATCGCCAGGAGATACTTGGACACCCTGCGGATCACCTTGTCGTGCGAGGCGGGCAGCAGCCAGGCCCAGCTGTGCTCTTCCGGGTACTCGTGCAGGAGCCAGTAGAGGCCCGCCGTCCCCGTCACGTTCAGATGATACCAGTGCACCTCCTCGTTCGGCTGCAACTCGTGGGAGCCTCCCATGCCACCTGGATGGCCCTTGCGGATCGGCGCTGCGCGACGCTAGTCGACGCTGCATCGGCGCTTTCTCATCGACTGCCAGACGCCAGCGCCCGCGAATGCCCCTTAGAAGCGAAATTGCGAGGACAGACGAGGCTCCCATGCTTTGCTGCCGAATCCTCGGATATGTTCTGCGTTTCTTGCAAGATCAGAACCAGGCGCTCCTGGCAGCCGAGCTCGGTCGCCACCTGGAAGTCGCGCACGCCGAGCCGCAGATCTGGCAACCTCTCCTCCTCCTTCATGAGCTCGTACGCCAGCAAGCGGAACAGCTTCTCAATGGGCTGCTTGGACAGGTCTACTGATGCGCTCTTGTCGGCCTCTGTTGGCTCTGGGGGGGCCAGCGACGTGATGTCGTGGCCGGATTGGTAGCGCCCGTTCTCGTCCACGAGCGCAACGGCCAGGCCAAGCAACAGCGCAACCCGCGCCACCGACGACGGCATGGCGGGCTGCCGCGCAAATGCAGCAGGGCGCCCCGCTTGAGCCGACGAACGGCTTCCCCCTCCCATCCCCCCTGTCGTGCTCCCCCTACCATCCCGCTACTTGCGCTCCTCCTCCCCTGTCCCCATTCGTTTTCCCCTGCCCTCTTCTTCTTCTTCTTCTCCTTCTCCTCCTCCTCCTCCTCCTGTCTCGCCCTCCTCGTCCTCCCCCTCCTCCTCCTCCTCCTTCTCCTCCTCCTGCCTCACCCTCCACGCCCTCCCCCTCCCTCTCCTCCTCCTCCTCCTCCTCCTCCTCGTCCTCTCCTCCTCCTCCTCCTCCTCCTCCTCCTCCTCCTCCTCCTCCTCTGCCTCTTCCTCCTCCGTCTCCTCCTCGTCGTCCTCCTCCTCCTCCTCGTCCTCCTGCCTCACCCTCCTCACCCTCCTCACCCTCCTCGACCTCTCCCGTCCCCTCCTCCTCTCTCCTCTCCTCCTCTCTCCTCCTCCCCTCCTCCCTCCTCCCTCCTCCTCCTCCTCCGCCTCCTCCTCCTCCAATCTCCCCCCCCTTCCCCTCTGCCCCCCCCCCCTGTGACCATCCAAACCAAACCATCGACGCGGCGGCGGTGGGCGGTCGTCACAAACATCGGACGATACCAGAATCCAGCGGCCGAGGACGACCATGAGCGTGCGCAGCAACCTTGACGACTCGAGTCGCCCAGGCACTACTTGTGCTCGCACTTCGCCGACGAAGGCACGCGCGCGTCAACCACCTGTCTGAACGAAGTGCCGAGGCATACAAACATGTTTGATTGTATGTTTGTATACATACATCGTTGTATATACGTGTGTCGATATGTATGTATGTATGCATGTATACATGCCTGTATGTATATATGTGTGCATATACGCATGCATGCATGTATGAATTTATGTCAGCACACATATATAAATCTACATGCATGCATGCATGTATGTATGTATGCATGCACGTATGGACGTACGCATGTATGTACATATGTACGTAGGTGAATCTGTATGTATGTATGTATGTATGTATGTATGTATGTATATATATGTATGTATGTATGTATGTATGTTTGAATGAATGTATGTATGTATGTATGTATGTATGTATGTATGTATGTATATATGTATGTATGTATGTATGTATGTATGTACGTATGTGTGTATACGTGATATGTATGTATGTAGCTGTGTATATGCACGCATGTGTGTTTGTATGCATGCATGTATGGATGTATGTACGTATGCATGTTTGCATGCGTGTCTATAAGTGTATATGAATGCTTTGCATGTGTAAATGTATGTAACCGTGTACGTATGTATGTGTGTATGGATGCATGTATGTATGTGTGTATGGATGTACGTATGTATGCGTGTGTGTATGTATGTATGTGTGTGCATGTATACATGCTGTATGCATGTATGAATGAATGTGTGCATGCATGTCTGTATGTTTGTTTGTCTGCGTGCATGCATGCATGTGCAGAAGCATGCATGCACGTATGTTTGTAGGTGTGTATGTGTGTATGTATGGATGTACGCACACATGCATGTGTGTGGATGTATGTGTATATATAGATATACACATGTGTATATATATGTGCATATCATATGTATGTGTAAGTATGCACGCCGTTTGCTCTATGCTTATAATACGGGACTCTGCGACACCCCCCTAACTGGGACCCCCCGCCGGGTCGTTGGCCCCGGGGGACACCCTGGACGCCCCTGCAGACGGTCCCCTGTGCTTTCCGGGGCTCCTGACGCCCCTGCTGGGTCTAGGCAACGGGCCCAAATCGATCAGGAGGGCAGCCGAAAGGCCCCGCGAGAGCCCACAGAGGCCCCAGACACCCACCAGACGCCCGAAGACGATCCAAAAGAGACCCCCAAGAGGCATTCGAAACGCAAAAAGCAATGCTGGCCTATGGCTGTTGTGTGCTTCTGGGGATGCTCTGTTTTTTGGTCTTGCGGGCGTCCGAGATAGCTCACGAGGCCAGAGAACCGCCTCAAATTTACTCAAGAGGGCTTCCAGGCAATCCAAGAGGAGCCCCAAGACGGCCCAACAGGGCCCCAAGACGGCCCGAAGGGAGCCCCATGACGGCCCAAGATGGCCCCAAGACGCCCCCAAAATCATTCCAAATCGTGGCCAGGCCGTTCAGGGAGACCGCGGTTAGAAGCAGGGTGGCCCAGGGAAGCCACCAGAGGCCCCCAGGAGGAACTCTGGAGGCATCCAGAAGGCCCCAACAAGCCCTTAAAACTTTCGTGAGGTCTCCAAGAGCCTCTCCTAGGATGATCTTACGCAACAAGAGCGGAGGATTGGGACGAATTCGCAGGGTAGGGCGAGAATTAGGAAGAAGGATACATGAGGGAAAGATAACGAATGACATTATCATAACGGCGATGCCAGAAATGGCAACACCGAGTTATCGCTAATTGTTCTGTGTTCCCTTATTGCCCTCCTGCCAAACGTCAAAGACCAAAGTGCATGGCGCAAAGCGCCAATGCAGTCTTATATGTATACTATATGGATTGGCGTGTGTATGTGTTATGTATATGAGGGCTCTGTTCAGCCATTGGGCAACAGGCCAGCGAAAGAGAGCATCTCCCCCCTTGGGGAGGCAAGCAGTGCAAGTTCGGGGTCGTTGCTGCACACTGAGCTGGGCTCATGTATCGGATCGCGGGGCTCCCTTTCTCAAGATGCCCGCTCGTTCAATGCGATCTCGAAGTGCTGCTGCGACTCCTCCTCCGCTCGCGCGGGACTTGATCGCCCCTGTGCGAATTCGGGGTCGATGCTGCACACTGAGCTGGGCTCATGTATCGGATCGCTGGGCTCCCTTTCTTGAGATGCCTGCTCGTTCAATGCGATCTCGAAGTGCTGCTGCGACTCTTCCTCCGCTCGCGCGGGACTGGATCACCCCTGTCTGCAGCGCAGGCTCGGGCTGGGACTATTCAGCCAGGGGCCCGTGCAATCATGAGCACAAGCGCTTGAATCGAGCACTACTGCCCGGTGGCGGACTTCCCAAATCGACGAAACGCCGTGCAGCCGTGCCGTGAGCGCAGCGGACGCCGATGGCGAGCGTCGACAGCGGTGTGGATGGTCATCATCCGCGTGATCTTATGCCTGAGAACGTCTACCATCGCGCGGGCACTAGTGCACAGAAGTTAGGCGGTGTATGCACGTTGTGAAGCACAACAATGTGCGCATGCACGAACATGCCAGTTTACGTACACCCAACGTATGTGGCTAGCTTCGTAGATGCAAACACCCATGTACACTATGTGATATCGGATATCGTGTTCCGCGGGCATGCCCATGTAAGCACGCGCGCACACGCAAGCACTGTTCCTCCGCCGACGGTGTGAAGCACGATCGTATCAGGAACGATCGGTCCATGTTAGCTCAGCTTCACAGGCTGCGCACGTGCGTAAAACCAATGTGCTCAAACGGCGGCCGTGGAACGCTGGCTGCAGGGCAGGCCGAAACGAGCCGTGCGTGAGAACAAGGCGTGGGAAACCGAGAGATATCTACAGCCGAGGTGCTGCCAGAAGGAACGCCGAACAAGGAACAAATGGGGCTCGCCTGCCCACGGTGGGCCTAGGCCACAAGCAGATCCCGCGACACAAATCTCGGGTCGGGCGAAAGGGGGGGGATAGCAAAGGGGGGGGGTGAGAATCAGCTCATGTAGCTGATTTCCCCGGCGCCTCCCGGCGCCGGAGGCGGCTTATGTATCGAGGAAGGGGCCCGCTCGGTGGGGCCGAAACCAGCTGCACGCAGCGAATTTCGTCCCCCCCCCCCCCTGTCCCACACTCCCCCCCTCTCGTTCTGCCCGGAAAGCTAAGAGACGACCCGACTCCCCGATAGCCCCTTTCCGAACCCAACGCGGTCCTTACTTTCCGCGTCCCGGCTCCACGCACGTGGCCACCGCCCCCGGCCGGGCCCACTTTGGGGGCCCAGGAGCGGCGCCTGCGCCCTCCCGGCCTGGCCAGGAGGGCAACTTTCGCCCCGCCTGGGCCCCAACAGGGGCCTGGCATCAGGTCGGGCCTGTCCTCCTACAGGGGGAGCTCGGGCGAACAAATCAAAGCACTCCGACAAATAGTCCCCAAATGCTCAGGAAGGGTTAAAAAAGATAGTCCCCAGACTATGTTGGGACCCTTTTCGAAGATCCCTCCTGCAGAGGGACAGGCCCGACCCAAGCCCGGCAGGGGCAGTGGGCATGTACAGATCTCGCCGCCCGACCACGGGCAGCACACTGCCCGCGGGAGCGAGCAGCACGGAGGGCAGGCACCCGCGCCAGAGGGTGCACGCCGGCGGCCGGGGTCGACGCCAGGCCCGCCCAGACCCGCGGGCGCGGCTTGCGGCGGGGGGTGCAGGGAAGCGCCCGGGGCAGCACGGTGCCGTCGCGGACCTGGCGCTCGCGCAGATCGGTCGGGCAAGCCGAGGGATGCCGTGCAGCAGGTTGTTGGGCTGCACGGGGCGGAACCATCGAAGGGGGGGGACGAGGCGGCACAATCGGGGCGGCACATCGCGCAGATCGGTCGGGCAAGCAGAGGGATGCCGTGCAGCGTGCAGCAGGTTGTTGGGCTGCACGGGGCGGAACCATCGAAAGGCGGGGGCGGGCGCAGCTAGGGACCTCCAAGATGTGGTCCGAGCAGATGGGGTCGGAGGATCGCGCCGCATCGCCGATGCATCGACGACGCGTCGGCGACGTCGGGGGTGCGGCGCGGCGACGTCCGCGTGGCGATCCTCCGGCCCCATCTGCTCTGACCCTATCTGGGGGGCTACTAGGGCAGAACGCGGGAACACGAAGGCGGCCCCCCGAGACCATCAGGGCTTTGCGGCGGCGTGCAGCGGCCCGGGCTCCGGCGGAGTGGCGCAAGCGGGGCGCACACCAAGCGCGTCTGGGACGCGGGCCCAGCACGGTCGGAGCGGCAAGGCTGGGCAACGGAACCGCGCAGGGGGCACCGAACGGAGAAGCAGAGAGGAGGACGGCCGCGGAGCTGGAATCGGCGATGCATCGCCGACAGATCGGCGACAGGCCCCCGATGGCGAACCCGCGCACTGCTGGGCGGGGCGGGCCATCGGCCCCAACCGGCGATGAATGTGCGATCGGGGGTCGATGCGCGCCCCTGGGTCTATGGCCTATCCCCCCCCCCTAGCCTTGCCCCGAAGAGGAGCGGAAGGGGGGAAGAGGAAGGAAGGAAGGCGGAAGAAGGACAGGACGAGAAGAGAACGGGCGGTCGTCCACGCAAAGCGGCTCGGGGCCCGCAGGCCCAGCAGGCCGGGGTGTCCTGTCGGCGCACGTTTTTCACCGCAGGCTCGGGTCGTGTCGACCCCGCCGCCACGTCGCCCCCGTCGCCGCGAGCGCGGGCGCCTAGCAAAAAGCCAACTACGACTGCGACGATCCGGACGAGAACCGAGACGAGGAGGAGGAGGAGGAGGAGGAGGAGGAGGAGGAGGAGGAGGAGGAGCAGTGCACAACGGCGGAGCAGTCATCGCGAAAACCGCCAGTCCACGCGCCAAGCGCGCGCTGAGCTGGCGAGCTTACGCGAGCAGAGCCGGGGGCGCAGGCCGCGCCCCGCCCGCGCGCCAAACGCGCTGCAAGCGACGGCCGCGGCACAGCTTCTCGGGCAGCCCACCGCGGCGACCTGTGCTGTGCGCTCCACGGCAGCGGCAGAGCACTCCGGGACGGAGGAGTGCTCGCGGAGCCGCTGTGTCGGTGGCCTTTGTTCAAAGTTTGGAGCACCCAGCGGCCCTCGTCTGTGGAGCCTCGGCGAACACGGCACGAAGACCCGGAAGTCTGGGAACGCAGCACTGTACGTAGGAGGGCGAGGCGAGCGACTGGCAGGCCCTCACATGTGGCGAGGCGGAGCAGCAATACACGGCGTTTCCAGCGAACGCGGAGGGACAGCTGGCCAGGATCGCCCGCGGCCTCAGTCCCAGGACGCCTCTGCGAATAGCGCGGCCGGCTCCTCGATGACGACGCCTTCGGCCCAAGGCCCCCCCGCGGTCGGGCACTTGCACACCATGCTTGAGCCCGAGTCCCTGCTGTCGATGAGGGTGGCAGCTGCCTCGTTGTCGCGCGCACCCTCGCCCTGTGAGGCGAGCTTCCGCTTTTGCTTCATCTCCTGCCACCGCTGCTTCCACACGGGCCTGTAATAGTACTCGTTGTCCTCCTGGCTCTCAACGCTGTACTTCTCCGTCGCCCTGTGGTGCTCGCACTTGCCCGAGACGTACTCCAGGCTCGCTGGGTGCGCGTCGAAGCCGAGAAGGCCGCCCACGTCTATCCTGCCGAGCGCGGACACGTGCTTGACCGCCAGGTTCAGGTGCTCCTGCTCGGGCAAGTCCTGGCGGATTACGATCTTGGAGGGCGACGGGGCATTGCGGTTCTGGACGCTCAGCGTAAACATCCCAGCAACGGTGGGCGCGCCTGCCACTATCTCCTTCTTGGGGAACCATTGGCTCTTGGACAGCGACACGTTGAAGTTGCTCTGCGGCGTAGACAGCACCAGGTCGTGGCCGTCGGCAAGAAAGGCCTCCATGCTCTGCCAGGGTGCCGCTCTGCCCCCAGGGCTCAGGATGCGGGCCCCCAGGTGTGCGCCCTCGTGGCCGGGGTGGGCCTGGAGGTAAGAGCGCACCTGGACGGACACGTTGCCCAGCCAAGAGCCGGAGATCTCGACCCGCGTGATGTACGTGGTGCACGGCTTCTTGAATTCTGGCTGGACGGTGGCCAACAGCTGGAACTCGGCGTCCTTCGCGGAGTCCTGCGGGAACCGCAGCAGCACGAAGTCCCCGCCGTGGTTGATGTCGAAGTGTTCGCCCTGCAAGTTGACCAGGTGCGGGTCGCCCTTGGCACCCACGGTCGGAGCCGGGGTCGGATGGATCGGGTACGGGCCAGTCGGGATGCAAGTGGCTGTGCAGTTGTCGGGGCCGATGGAGCACATCGTTGTCTTGTCACAGGTCGCCGACTTGCACCCGCAATTTCCATTAGAATCGTGCTTGCGGCTGAGCTCCGTCCCGTCCACCGTCGTGCACGAGATCATGACGCCTGCGTACTTGGTGTAGTTGTTCTGCAGGGGCGTCGTGAGGGTGACTTCATTGCCAGGACCCACGCTCTCAACGCACACCGTCTCGACGGACTGGTTGCATGCGCCAGACTCGGACATGGAGGAGATGTCGATGCAGTCGCCCGGCACCAGCGGCGGGTCAGTCGGAGTAACTGGGATATTAATGTCTCCCGCGCCGACATCAGACGGTAGGTAGCTGCCGTCGCGGCAGTCGTCGTAGTCACCGGCGTCGAAAGCTCCTGACTCGCAGGCGGAGCACTCGAACGAGCGTCGCCGACGCGTCGCGCCCGTTGTGCACTGGATGCAGGCCACTGGGTTCCCGTCGAGGTAATACCCCTCTCCGCATTCTGGCGCGTCCGCCCTCGCCTCCACGGGGCAGACGCTGCCGTTCGTCATGTCGAAGATGAGCGGCCACTCGACGGAGAGGTTGACGCAGCCGTCCCCGTCCAGATCCCAGGTCGGGCTGCTGCAGTTCGTCAGCGGCGCCTGGACAGCACACTCCTCTCGGGGATGGACAGACCCCCCCTCAGTAAAACGTGGTTTAGTGAAAAAGCGACCTCGGGCCCAAACCTGGCAGGCGCAGGCCTGGAAAATGACGGCCGCGGCGCCCTCTCGAGAACCGAAAACGGACAATTCACGAATCGACGTGTCAGGGTAGGAGGTCTGCCCACCCCCGATCCTCCTCTCTGAGGCACAGGTCGGAATCCCGGTCGTAGGCCTCGAAGCAGGCGTCCTTCAGGCAGGGGCAGGGCACCCCGGTCGCCTCCGTCGGGGACGGCGTCGGGGCCGCCGTCGGGGGCGCCGTGGTCTGGGGTCTCTGCCGCTCGGCGCCCTCCGCCGCCGAGGCGATCTGGATGAGGCAGGAGTCGGGGCTGGGCGGGAGCTCCGCCCCCGACTGCAGGAAGACCGACAGGAGCACCGTGTATGCAATCATGGCCTGCGTATCGAGGAGGTGCGGTGACGGACGCGGCTGGGCCCCCCAAAGCAGCCGAGCCGAGCGCGCTTGAGCCAAAATGGCTGCGGAGGAGGAGGAAGAGGAGGAGGAGGAGGAGGAGGAGGAGGAGGGGATAGGTTGGCCCCCTCTTCGGCGGCGCTCACAAGGGGACAGCGCGAGGCGGGCGGCCCTCCAAGAAGCGGGTGGCCTGGGGAACTTCTTCCGGAGCAGGGCTCTCCGTAGAAGCCCTCCCAGCGTTCAAAAGCCTCCATGGGAGGCACAGAGACATACTAATACGATACGTCCTCCTTGGAGGCGCGCGTCCGACCCGAACATATAGTATACTTTTTGTTTGTATATATCGTTTCCCGAGCGGTGTGGTCAGAAAGCGACCGCCACGACGCATAGACTATCAGACTTCACGGTGCGCGCGTCGCCCCTGGGGGGCGACGCACGTAGAGTATAAGTATGCTGGGGTGACGCCGACTCCAGGCCCTTCCAAGAGGGCCCTGCCTTCGAAGAAGCGCGCCACCTGCCTGGGAGGCCACCCCCCTCGCGCCACCCCTCTGCGCTCGCCGCACGCTGCTTGCGCTGACCCCCCGCCACGCGAGCCCCGAATGGCGAGCGGTGGCGGCTGGCTTCACCGGCGAGCCTGGCGGCGCATCCACGCGCGGAGGCCGCCTTGGGCGAGCCATCGCAGGGGGGGGGGCACGGGGCGGGACAGGAGTGGGCAGGGCACCTTCTGTGTGTATAGGGAGACGGCCGAGGGGCCGTTCCTACACGGGGTCCGTAGGTAGAGGCGAGGAGTAGGACTCCTTTTCCAGGGCACTGCGCAGGGGGCAGGGCACTGTTAGAGTTATGCCAATACCTGAGCCAATACAGTTGCGGTGAGAGAATATATAATAGGGGAAATTATCGGACTTCGCACACACACACACACACACTCCTTCTGTGGCAACTCATGGGGGCCACCCATGCCATCTTGTTGGCTCGTGCAAAGCGTCACTAGTCGACGCTAGTCGACAAGACAGGGCGCCCGCCATCGCGCCGAAGCGCGCTCCGTGGCTAGAGGAAGGAAAACTAGCTTTCGGAGGTCTTCGCGGAATTCTTGGATCCGCACTAGGACCTGGCGAGCAGAGCGCGCCAGGGGCGGCGCCGGAGGCGCCTCTGGGGGGGCCCAGCGCCGATCCCCAAAATCCGCGCGGAGCTCCGAAACTGCATGTTCGCGCGGACTTTTCTCCCCCGAGTGGCGGCGTGGGCGCGCCGCGCAGCGCGCAGCGACGCGCGCCACGGCCCGACCGGGAAGGGGGCAGCCCTGGCCCGACCAGGCGCCGGCAGGCGGGGAGCAGCCAGCGCGGGCGACACAGCCCGGGCCTGAGGGGCACGCCGCTCGGGACGCGGCGCCGAGGGGCGAGGGCAAGACGCGGGTTCGGGGAGGGGCACGCCGCTCGGGACGCGGCGCCGAGGGGCGAGGGCAAGACGCGGGCTCGGCCGTCGCGGAGCGGGCCCGGCCGCCAGCTGCGCGGAGCAGGCCCGCGGGGGCGCCGCGCGCCCGCAGAGAGAGGAGGAGACGAGCGGCCCCGCCGGAGCCTCGCGGGGGCGGTGGCGCGGCAGGCGGGGAGCAGCCGGCGCTGGCGCGGGGGCGCCGGCAGCGGGGGCGGGGGGGGCGGGGCCGGGCGGTGCCGCCCCACGGGCGGCGGGGCAGCGGGAGGGCGGCGCGGCGGGGTAAGGCACGCACGCCCAGAGATCCAACGCATGGAAAAAATCAGGGCGGAGGCTTTTCGCAGGCTTCGGCCCCTATAAAGGCCCTCGACCGGCCTCGGGGCCGGCAAGGAGCGACTCGGGATGAAAAACACGTCGTGTCGAGACTTCCGGGGGCCCCGTGTTGAAGAAAGCACGACATCGGATCTCTGGGCGTGCGTAGCACATGCATGCGTGTGGGAATCTTGCTCTGAGAAATCGAAGGAAGGGCGCCTTGTTCGGTCGAGCTCGGACCTTCCCGGGGATGCCCCCAGAACTCCAAGGGGTGCCCAGCGGCGCAGCGGAAGAAGACAACTCTGCGGGGCACCTGCCGGCAGGCCCAATTCTTACTTGGCCTGCCTACCGTGAACATGCACACTATGCACACACACACACCACACACCATCAAACCACACACCATCAAACCACACACCATCAAACCACACACCATCAAACCACACACCACACACCACACACCACACACCACACACCACACACCACACACCACACACCACACACCACACACCACACACCACACACACACCACACACACACCACACACACACACACATACACACATGCGCGCGCGCACGCGTACACGCCGACATGCGCGCAAAGGCGTCCTCTCCCCATTCCCCCCTTTCCCCCTGCCCTCTCTCTCCCCCAGACATCCGACGATGTGTGTGTGTTTTGTTCCCCACCAGGGGCCCATTTTTCGGCCCGGATCCATGTCTGATGGCCACGGGGCTCGGCAAAACGGCTCCTGGATGCCCAGGTGGAGGACAACTCCGTCGGCTTGAAAGAATCATCTCGCCGGAGCTTCCCCTGATCCTCGTCGTCTGCACTTCGAGCCACAACTCGGGGGTCTCCGGCGGCCGCTCGCTGCGATCCCGGCACTCCCGGACGCCTTTCTGGCGAGGCGCAGCGACGAAAACGCACCCAGGGCAGGACACATCCAGGTACAAACGAAACCGTCCGGAAATCCCGGGTCTCCTCCCACTCCCCCTCCCCCTCCCCCTCCCCCTCCCCCTCACCACTCCTCCGCGTGACCACTGCTCCTCCTCACCACGCCTCCCCCTCACCTCACCCCCCAGTCCCCCTCCCCCTCCCCCAATCCTTCTCGCGGGCCTCCTCCCTCTCACCCCTCCCTCCCCCTCCCCCCCCCACTCGCCGCTCCAAGCGGTCCTCCCCACGGTCCCTCGGCCAACAAAGAGGGCCGCATGGAGGGGTGTCAACGCACCTCCACAGCTCAGATCTCTTCTTGACCAGGCGCCCATTGCCGCCATCCACTGTTTTCCTCCCCCTCCTGCCGAGCCCCTCCTCCGGCGGCATCGGCGGCGGCGGCGGCGGCGTTCCTCCTCCTCCTCCTCCGCCTCCACCTCCTCCTCCTCCGCCGCCTCCTCCTCCGCCTCCACCTCCTCCTCCTCCTCCTCCTCCTTCTCCTCCTCCTCCTCCTTCCCTCCTGCTGAGCCTTCCCCCCCGTCCCCTCACCACTCTTCACCGTGGGCTCCACGGCGCACGTCACAGCCGAGCCCACTCGGCTGCCGGCGGCGCATCGAGCAGTGGCACGCACGAGTCGAGCGAGGCGCCGTGCGGCACGCTGGCCGCGCCCTTCTTCAGGAAGCAGTCCTGCACCACTGCTGCCAAGGAGAGCTGCTTCTCTTCCCTCCTCCTCCTCCTCCTCCTCCTCCTCCTCCTCCTCCTCCTCATCTTCCTCTTTTTCCTCTTGCTCCTCCTCCGCCTCCTGCTTACCCCCCACTCCTTTCCCTGATGAATAACTTCCCCCTGCTGCACCCCGAGGCCAGTCGGAAGGGCGGGCGGGCCGTTTCGCCTGAGACGCCCCCACCATTTACGATCCCGAAGCCTGAATTAACACTTGCAGCAATTTCACAGATGGCGTGCGGGCCGTTTTCAAAATGTGGCCCTCGCCGTCGCACCGCGTACGTCCGTCATACAAGCTTGCAAACGCTTCACGGAGGGAGAGCGGCTCCTTTTCAAACGTGGCACTCGCTCTCACACCGCGCAGACTCGTCATACAGGATGCAACGCGTTCACGGATGGAGGGCGGCTCATTTTCAAAATGCGACTCTCGCCCTAGCGCCACGGGCATTCGTTTTAAGAGTTCGCAACTGTTTCAAGGATTTTTTGGCTCACGTTGGCATGGTGTCGGACTGTCCGGGCGCAGCCGTCACGTTGACTTGTGATGTTGCAGTGCCAGGAGTGATGCTCTGGTACGGCTCAGGATTGTCAGGGCACAGCCGTAACGGTGATTCGCGGCGTTGAAGTCCCAGGAATGTGGCGCACGGCCGGGTTTTCAACAACACAACAAATCTCCAAAGGGGCACTTCCTCCAGTGAAAACCCATCCTTGTAGGAGCCTGTGAAGAGGGAATGTGGAAGGAGGGTTACTGCAATCTCGTTGACGAGTCTTGGGTGTACAGTGGTCCTCCTCTTGCTCCTGTTCCTCCTCCTCTGCCACCTCCTCCTTCTCCGCCTATTATTAATTATTATTATTATTATCATTATTATTATTAGTATTATCAGAGTGAGGGGGCCGAACGGTCATTCACTGTCCCTGGGTGCGTGGCTGAAGTGGGATTCCGCGGTGCGGATTCGTGTTGTTGTTGTTGTTGTTGTTGGTGTTGTTGTTGTTGTTGTTGTTGTTGTTGTTGTTGTTGTTGTTGTTGTTGTTGTTGTTGTTGTTGTTATTTGTTGTTTGTTGTTTGTTGTGTGTTGTTTGTTGTTTGTTGTGTGTTGTTTGTTGTTTGTTGTTTGTTGTTTGTTGGTTATTGGTTGTTGGTTGTTGGTTGTTGGTTGTTGCTGTTGCTGTTGCTGTTGCTGTTGCTGTTGCTGTTGCTGTTGCTGTTGCTGTTGCTGTTGTTGTTGTTGTTGTTGTTGTTGTTGTTGTTGTTGTTGTTGTTTGTTGTCGTCGTCCCACCCGCAACCCGCCCCGCGACCCACCCGCGACCCACCCTGCGACCCACCCGCGACCCATCCGCGACCCACCCGCGACCCACCTGCGACCCACCCCGCGACCCACCCCGCGACCCACCCCGCGACCCACCCCGCGACCCACCCGCGACCCACCCGCGACCCACCCGCGACCACCCCGCGACCCACCCCGCGACCCACCCGCGACCACCCGCGACCCACCCGTGACCCACCCCACGACCCACCCCGCGACCCACCCGCGACCCACCCGCGACCCACCCCGCGACCCACCCGCGACCCACCTTCGACCCAAACCACGTTCAAGGTACAAACCAACATTTTCGGCGCCTGCGGTGGGCTTTTTTTGCATTCCTTCCAGGTGGAGAGCCCGCGACCCACCCCGCGATCAACTCGCGACCAACCCGCGACCCAAACCACGTTCAGGGTACAAACCGCATTTT